CCGGCCCGGCCCCCCCCGGCCCCGTTGAATGTAACCCCCGGCCGCCTTATACCGGGGGAGCCGCGAAGGGGAGAGCCCGTAGCCTGCGTCGCCCTAAAGACCTTCAAATACGAGAGTTTTATACAGAAATATATCTATAAAAAGAATTTTTTCTTAACGGAACAGCGCTAACGGTAATTTGTTCCAGGTGAATTGCCATTATTTTATTTTATTTTTTTTTTTTTTTTCCTTCCCTACTGCGTTAAAAAGATTTTTTCCCCCAGGGCATTTCTTCCAGTTGGTGGCAGGGGACTAAGGGTCTCGGGGGGGGGGGGCAGAGGCTGGTGTAGCACCCAGCCTGGTGTCACCTCACACCCAGCTCGACTTCTCCTTCCTCTTGGGGGACAACTCGGTTTCACCCAGCACAATGCATTTTAATGGAGATAAAACCACGAATACTTGTTTTCACCCCAAGTGTTGCTATTTATAGCTTCAGCCAGTATGCTTCTTGCAGGCTTTTTTTTGTCAATTCTGTCTTGGAGAGGCATCTGGGTGTGAGAGAAATAATTTCCTGGGCCTTGGTAGTAACTGTATGTGTTTTGAGATGGAGGGACAGCTCCAAATGTCTGTAAATCTAGCATCAGCTCCATATGATTGGTCAAAATTTGACGTTCCCAGATCCCTCTGTTGAGTCAATAGTGTTTTATTACTACTGCTTTGTTCATCTGGGTTTTCTTTAATGGATAGTAGAAGAGCATGCACGTGTTAAAAGTAATAAACATCAAAGTGCAAAGGCCAGATCCTTCTTATGATAAACATAATGATTACATTGATAGGACTACATGCAAGTTACGCGTGGAGCTATAAATCAGGCTAAAGTACAACCCCTAGTGAGAGAGGTGCTGTATACATTTGGCAATGTCATCAAACCCCCAAGTGTTCATACTTGTATCCAAATATAGTAAAGCCAGTTGCAAATAATGTTTATATTTTAACTAAACTGCAGAAAGGCAAGAGAATTTCAACATTGACTATAGGTAGTAATCTCACCCACGAGTGGTGAGGAAATCTATTTATTCAGTGGAAATAAATTTGTTCTATGAGAATGGAATTTTGTATTAAAAGAGATAATTTTTGGCTTACACCGAGTTATTTTTCTTTCCTTGTGTAGGAAACTTCCTCTTCCTTGTGTACTGGAATCATTTGGGGATGATTCGCTCTCAAAGTGTTGACAATATTTAACTGTGATATCTAATGTGTGTTATGATGACTTCTGTTTTGCTGTTTCATTGTGTTGAGCTGAGGCTGAGTGGGTGGCAGCATTACTTTCCACTGCAGGAAACAAAAGTGGATCCATCACCTCTGATCTGTGACGGGTGACTCTTTACATGCTTCGACCTGGGTTACTCCTAATTAATAGGGAGTATTAATGATAATTATATCATTATCAGCAGTATTATTGGTAGCATTAATAATATTGGGAAGGAATCAAATAAAGTCAAATGATCTGCATTTACACTGGAGCTGTTTGATGGGATACTATTTTAAATAAATAAATATTTTTTTAGCTTACTTCATTATTGTGCAACAAGTAGCTGGTATCGGCTTCAGCAGTTCAGTTTGTGGTGGTGCTCAGAACCTGGCAGTAAATCTGTCATCATGCATTTGTTTTATTCACTCATTGATTATATTGGAATTCTTCCTACAGGTGGGAAAGAAAAAAAAAGACCAGGTAAGTAATCTAGAAAGGATAATAATAGTGCTCAATTATCAGTGCTCTTTCGTATTTCCTGGATATTGCCATTGCTGTCACCATCATATTCTACCTGAGTTAAAAGATTTGTTTGAGACTAGGAAATTGTTTCCTGGATCTCTTGACTGTATCAACAGTGAGAGAAAGATGTTCTTTTTTCATGGTATGAATAGTAATCTGAGTTCTGGAAAGCAATTCATCTCTGAACATCTGTCACAGCAAGCCAGGACCTGTACTGCTCTAGTCAGGGGAATGTTACAGGCAGGTCATTTATTACGAGATGCAGTGGACATGAGTTGTGGTAACTCAAGATTTTGTCAGAGACCTTTCCAGACGAAACCACTTTTGAGCATGTCATCACAGTCGGTCTGGTTTTAAGCTAGAAACGTGCAGCTTCGGTCAACTTGTGTTCTCTGCTGTAAACTCGTGCAGAAACAGGACAGGAAGGTCTCGATGAAATGTCAATGTGCAATGCTCTAGGTTTCTGAAACACTGATGTGTGCGAGCAGTGATTCCTGAGTGCTCTGCTACTTCTCCTTTGTTCAAGTACCTGCTTCACACGGGCTGTTCACGTGAACGAGGCGTGATAAATTGGCTTTAGCTGTAACAGAAGTGTTCACGTGGAAAAAGCGTGTAGAATTTGGCCGTAACTTTGGAAGTTCATTGCTTAGCCCCATTACTCAACCAAAGACTATGACTTCTGGCAGTGCTCCAGCCACTTAGGTGTGATCTTGTTCCAGAATTGCACTTCTTCCAAAGGCATTTTGCTTTTACAACGTGGATTTATGTAGGCTCGGAAACCAGGTGGCTGCGCATCGCAGATTCCTATTTTCTGAGTTTTCCAAGACTTGATTCTAAGTCTGACTTCCTCGTAACAGAGTTTCACAGTGAATTTATGTATGGATTATAGAGTACAACGCAGTTGTTTCCACGGGAGAAATGTAGAGTAAATGCATCCAATATGTAACAACAGCTCTTTGTACAAAAATGTGCTATTTTTTAACACTTGGTATTGCTGATGTGAGTGGAAACACATCATTTTTCCCAATTCTTTAAAAGTTTCTGGTTTATTGGGGGCATATGTAGTTATGCCCCAGTTTGAAACCTGTTTGAGCTAGTGGAAGAAGTGGAATGCACTTGGAACAAAACCTTGTGTGGATATGGACTGGAGGCCTAATTCTGCTCCCTTGAAGCCAGTAATGAAACACCACATTACTGCTCACTTTTAGTCAACTGCCTTGAATGAAGAGCAAGGTCTGATCTCAGAAAATTACATCATATATTAAGTAGATTCAAGTATTTTGAGACAAGTGCTCCACATGACTATTTCGGAATAAAATGAGTAACAGTATAGAAAAGATGGTTTTGCTGTCAATTTAGTAGTCTTTCTGATTGACCTCATTCACAAATTATCCAATATTTAGCACTTTTTTATTTTAAAATAAGAGCATTTGCATAAAGGCAAACTTGAGTGCATCTCATCAGATTCAAGAAACGTGGAAACTGGTACCAGAGTTTTAGGTGACCAACTAGCCAACACAATTATTAATGTAACAATTGAAAATTATTTGGAAATACTTTATTAGTACTATCTTTTTCTTTAAAAGCAAGAATATTAACAGGGACTGACAATTGTGGTTTGTTTTTGGGTTTTTTTTAATGTCTTTTTCTTGATCCTTATAGCTTCCACTTTCAAAATTATGTACTTCTATTTTCATTCTTGTTTGGGTTGTTGGAGGAGTTAGGGGGATTGCTGATGAAAGCATTAGCTTTGCTAGACATGGCTACTGGGGTGAAACTGGTAGGTTATCATTGATGACTGCAAAAGTATTTGGAAACACTCCCCTGTGGTGGCATTTTCTCTCTTGGTCAATACTGTGGTTTTTCAGAACAGTGTCAGATGGTTCATTTTTGTGGAAAAATGATGGGAGAAGGCTCGAAGAAGCAGAGCCAGTGGGATTGCTATAGGAATTCCCAGTCCCACAGTTGTACTGGGTAGTCTCTGTGTGGTAGATGTTGCATCAGTCTTTATATTTTTGAATGTTAAGGATGTTAATCCTCAGTGTGGGGTTATTTTTAGACATTATGAAGATGTATGTATATGCAATACTAAGATGTTGGGTGCCTTAAAAAGAATAGATAATAATAGAGGGCATAGCACAATATAAAATATTAATAACTCAGTCATATGTCATATACTGAATCTTTAATGTCCATTTACTTTTTCTAACATCTTTATTTTTCTACTAGAATTTTCTAAATCTCTCAAGAATGTCCTGTATATTCTATGAATTCTGAAGAAATATTTTAGGTTAGCCAAGGGTCGAATCTCTCCATATTTGGAAATTAAAACGAATGCCACTGTGTAGGAATATTCCTATCCATGGCATGTGGCATGGCAATTTGGCATGTTGTTGCAGCACTGTGCCAGGAAGGGAGGCTCTCTGTAGCGATGAGATTTTGCAGTAGGGCTTGAATATTTTCAAGCAGGAGTTCCTGAATTGTGATTAATCACCATTGGACCATCATAGACCTGAGACATCAGGAGCTGCTGCTTCTGATGGACCTGCCATCCCTTCTGCTGATGGTGGGAACTGTCACCATTACTGGTGGGGTCTCCTGTAACATTAATTAGTCATATGTCATATACTGAATCTTTAATGTCCATTTACTTTTTCTAACATCTTTATTTTTCTACTAGAATTTTCTAAATCTCTCAAGAATGTCCTGTATATTCTATGAATTCTGAAGAAATATTTTAGGTTAGCCAAGGGTCGAATCTCTCCATATTTGGAAATTAAAACGAATGCCACTGTGTAGGAATATTCCTATCCATGGCATGTGGCATGGCAATTTGGCATGTTGTTGCAGCACTGTGCCAGGAAGGGAGGCTCTCTGTAGCGATGAGATTTTGCAGTAGGGCTTGAATATTTTCAAGCAGGAGTTCCTGAATTGTGATTAATCACCATTGGACCATCATAGACCTGAGACATCAGGAGCTGCTGCTTCTGATGGACCTGCCATCCCTTCTGCTGATGGTGGGAACTGTCACCATTACTGGTGGGGTCTCCTGTAAAATTAATTCTATAAAAAACAAACAAACAAACAAACAAAAAGCAGAAGAAAGGTTTGGGAGTCTTTATCCTACAGGGACCATCTTATTTGAAGCTAATGACTTTCCCCAAATGTTAAAGTGGCATTAGTGCACTGATTATGGGAAAACGGTGTTTTTTCTTGCTTTTCTCAGCTTTGCTTTGCTTTTCTGGATACAGTAGTGGGTTCACGTGTTAAAGAACTGTAGGAATGTATTTTTTAATATTTTTTCATCCCTTACTTGTTGAAAACAAAGTCAGTCTATCACAACAGTAACTGTCCTAAACTGAGATGAGTTTTCTAGACAGCTACGTAAACCTTTGGGTTTGTACTTTGTTTCTAAGTTACTCTATGTGTGTGTATATATATAATGTCCATTATCTGAATAATCTTTGAACTGAAATCTGTCATTGAACTTTGGAGGCTTTGGCTTCGCAAATCAAGGCTGGTTAATGGGGTTTTATTTGGTTCTGTGTTTGTTTAGTTTGATATTATTCAGAGTATGATTGGAGAGAGCAAAAATTTGCAGTGTGAAAATTCTCATCACACAATACTTTTTAATAGGACTTTCAAATTTAATTCTTTCTTTTCTCTGGAGAACAAAGCAGCTATGCTTAAAAGAGCATAGGAATTGCCACTCAGACTTAAAGTTGAAATGCATTCACTCTGCTGTGTCCTCTCGTTACTGAAAGTGTCCAGGACAGTCTGATTCTAAGGAAGATGTAAGAAATTCCTATTAATGAGATTACAGGGTCAGATGTGGCCAGCTGATCTGCTCCACCATTAGCTCTCACCCTGAAAAATCAGGTACCTGGGGTACTGCTCCACTGGAGGTACCAGTTCTGTGTGCGCGGGGAGCAGGGGAGTGCTGAGCACTTAGAAAAATCATGTTGTGGTGTTTCGGTGAAAAATGAACTTTAAAAAAACTGGTCATTGGTAGTGGATGCTGGCCATTTAAAAATTTGTCCCTGTGTTCTTTAGGAAACTTATCCAGAGTTTCTCTGGTGCTGTTAAACTGCCATGAAAGGGCACATCTGATCAGACTTCATAAAAGTACTGCTTAAAAAGTGTATAGCTAATGCATTCTTCTTAATTAGAGGGCATCATTTCTTGTGGCATCACTTCTATTATGTTTTCTTGCAGTGACCCAAAAACCTGGCTGCTTTGGAAAGAGGATAGTATTGGCAAGCAAAGAAATATGGCAAGTAAAGGTATTTTTTTAGATCCAGTCTATGCTAGTGTTTTCTTCAAAGAAAGGGCAAGTCATAGCTATTGACTTCTTGTTCTGCAGCCCTCACTGAGGATAACGAAAGGCACTAATCAAGGGAAAGAGGCAGTCAGCATTCAATCTCTGTTTGATTCTCCCTTTTGGTTTTAAACCAACAAAGAAAGAAATGTGGATTTATCTATTTTTTTTAATAAAAATACATATATCTCCTGTGAGCAGTGAGGGGCCATGCTGCTAGAGGCAGCAATGCTGATGGGTGGAACGGCGTTGGCATGTCTGGGAGATGGGTTCAGTTGTGACAGGTGGGAACTGTGCCAAGGCTAGCAATGTGAACGACACCTGAGAGTCAAGCATCTCACCAGGTTAGAGACAGTCAATAACAACACACAATTCTTGTTGAGACCTCTCTATTTAGAGCAGGTAAACAAATATCTCACAGAATCCCATTTTTCCTGCTTTTGGCCCAAGTTCTCAACCAGCCTCCAGACTGTTGGCATTCTCAGTGTCGTTTTTACCTATCTGCATGCACAGATATCCATTTGGCTGACAATAAGTTTTAACCCCTCGGTTTGCGCATCGACCACGTGCGTGAGACGGAGACCAGTTGAAAATATGGTTGTCTCTCTTGGGTTTTTCTATAGAGTGGTGTTTTCCACCTCAAGACTTCATTCTGTACGATGTATCGACTGGATTGTCTCCCTGTAACTCAGCTTTGTAAGCAGCCTCCCGAGGTTAGCCCTGGTGGTATGACATGCCTTGTGCTTTGCCAGCCCCTACAAGCCAGCCAAAGTCTGTTAAAGCCTTCAGAGCACAAAAACACTGATGAGATGGATCTCTCACAGGTATGCATCAGGGATAAAGCAGAGATGTCTCATTTGCAACGGCCTAAAATTAGCTGCTGTTAACTCAAAGCAGAAGTAACTGCCTCCTTTGTCGTTACTTCTAGGGGAACAGGACAGCTAATGTACGTAATGGAAATGCTGATACTAAGTATGTACAGTATATACATATATTCTGTATGTATATATATATGTGTGTATACATGTATATGCCAGCATGTTGAAGTGTAGAAGAAGATTTTTGGAAAGTTCTGGGAGATTCAGGTATACGGCTTGCTTTGGACTGTTATTAAAATATGGGCGTTTTGGTTACGAAGCTAAAAATAGATACATTAAGACCTAAATTGTCAATGTAGGTCAGTGGAGGCACTTCTCAGACGTATTAGCAATTTGGACACTTCATCTTAGCAGCATATTGCGTCTCCTAGAATAGGTTAGTAGAGGCAACGCAGGAGAAATTGCTGCATCTCAAGTCATTCAGAAAGGTTGCCAAGTTTCTCAGGAACCAGAATGGCAGAATAATGAGTATTATATTTAATTTGGGATGGGAAGACAACCGTGGGGAGTTCAGCAAAGGCAACTCAGATCATCTTGGCTCCGTGCGGGAGGGAGAATTTATAACTATAGCTAGCTAAAAAGCAGCAAGCTGTGTGTGCGTTTGTGTATATATATACTTATATATATGTATATACAAATCTGTGTATGTGTATATAACACGGTGTGTATATATGTATGTATGTATATGCCTATAATGTATAATATGTGTATCTATAGATATGTATACATTTATATAAATTTATATTTCTCTATATAAATATTCATGCAACTATGGGAAATAACATTTCAATACTGTGTCCTTTTCTTTAAAACCCAACAAAAAGCTGCTTCCATTAACACCATACTGGCACAAATGTCTTAAGTTATCTTTTATATGTAGAAAGGAGCATTGCTTAGTGGTTGAGCACAAGGCTGGAAGGTTTTTTCTATTCCAGAGGACTCCAAGTAAGTCGTTAGCTGCTCCACAGCTGTTCTGCATTTGTGAAATAAAGTGGTGGCCAAAATGTCTCAGGGCTGGTTTGAAAGGCAAAGGAAGGTGGTTGGTGACTGCTTGTGTTTTGGAAATTTCTGTTATGCTCATGGAGTTTTGATGGTGAAACAGCCAAAGCAGTAATTATTCTGGTTGCTGTTAATGTCCCAGGCTTCTGAACGGAGGAAAAAAAGATGAATTTCCTGCTGTAGTGTAAGTTATCTGAAGTCTGATTACTTTGGCTCAGTGATGTATGGATTTCCATTTGGGGTTAGGATGTTAGGCTGTAAATCAAGAATCTTAGCTCAGTGAACATCTAGTTCAGGATGTGTCTTTTATGTTATAATTGATTTTAAATAATTTCACTTCATCATCAGAACGAGCTATACCTTAATTCATGATAAGCTCAAAGAATTTCTCACTGTTCATATCAGGCTGGATTTTGCACTTGACTTCACTGGGCTTGAATCAGATGAGAGTGTTGCATTAAGTGCTGACATTAAAACAATCTTGTAGTTGTGCAACTATTAACTAAAATTGTAATTTTGTAATAAAAGTGAGCCTAAAAATGACTTACTAGTTACGTATTCTATGATTATAGTATCTTTCTGTTGGTAAGACTTTTACACAGTTGTTGGGTGTTGGCAAAGGTTTGGATTTTGTGCTGCTGGTGGTTATTTTGAGTTTTGCCCCTGTTTTGTGCTGGAATTGGCTCAGCCCCTGGAATAACTCACCGCAATACGCTGCAGCTGGAAGGAAAAGCTGCAAGGTAATGATCTGTGTGAGCATCCCTGGAGCCACCTGCCCTGAATGATGGCTGATTGCTGAATTGCCACATGCATTGTGCTGGAATAAATGTAGGTCAAGGTAAAGTGGATTTATCGTCACAATTTTGGCTCCCGTGGGGCAGAGCCCGTGTCCCCCTCTGACTGCGTGCGGGGACAGGCACAACCTGCTGGGGGTTGGTGCAGGGAAATGTCATTCTGCTTCCAACACCAAACAGGTCCTCTGCTGTCACGGTTATTAGAGCAGTGTGGATCTGTCACGCTGCCAATCTGCCATCGTTTGCAAACTGTAATGTGACTAGAAGAGAAAAAGGGGGGAGAATGAATTATTTCTTTCTCAGCCCTTTGCTTCCTTTAAGGCAGAAGACAAACAAACACAAAATAATCATGGAAATCTAAAACAAATACCCAGTGGCTTAAAACGTATGGTATCGAGTGAAATATTTCTTTCAAGCTTCTTGATTATGCTCTGCTTTATTATTTCATCTGGAGGAAATAAGCACCTTATGGGAAAGTGCTTCTCAATCTCTTTTGCATAAATGTTACAGTGAAACTTTCTGTGATATATAGCTGCCTGTTCAAGAAAATAGGTCATTTCCATACAAATGCCATATTTTTATGCAGAAAATATGCTGAATTCATATACCATCTTCTAGTTAAAGCAATCCTTTCGCTGTTTTTGTAACTTCAGCATATTTGCCTGAATGAAGACAACCGGAAGGGGAGCAGAAAAAAATGATTATTTTTTAATTAACTCATGCAGGCCTAAAGTCAGGCTAACCGCTTGAATATGGTGTCTCTGGGGCACACACACATGAACATCATCTTCAAATGGCTAATTTTTTTCAGCAAGAAGCATCAGAATTTGAACATAGTTTATCGCAAAGCTCAGAGGGCTGCTACTTTGCTGAGCATCTGGAGACTTTGGGAAATAAGTTTTTCTGATGTCAGTTGTTAAAGAAGATGCCTAGATGTCCATATCCTCAGGAAAGCAGCCATGCACACAAGAAGCCCACAAACTGAAGCCAGTGAAGGAATGATGAAGTTTGCAAATCTCCTCGTACTCTGGCAATCTCCTCTGTGCAGGATGAATTTAATCTATAATGAACCTGGGCTACTTGCACTGTTGCTTGAGAGAAACAAGAAACAAACCCTGTCTTCCATATAGGTGAATTTTGCTACGCCACTTTATATTTAGGAAAGGAACAGTGTGGTTCAAGGATCAGACATACAAAGTCATCTTGTTGCTGTAGCTAGACATCCAAATAAATTACATCACCTAAAGCACATAGGTGCCTAAGGATCTGCTGCTGTAAATCATTGCAGCTCCGTTGCTCTCAGCACAGCAGTGCTCGTGTCCCTGATCCAGGGAGATGATTCAAAGATGTTTGGTACCCGCTGGTAGCAGTTTCTCTGGAGGGCTTTCCATGCAGCCATTAGCATTTTGTTAAACAAGTTTAAAAATGAAGATGGATAAACCCAGTTTCTCAGTTAGCGGGAGCTGGCGTCAGCCCAGTGATGTGTTTGGGCTACTCAGTGCTGGTGGGGAGCTTGACCTTGCATGTGGCAATCTTCTTCCTTTTCACCCAGCTGGTGATTTTCTTCCCACAGGAATGCAAAGAGCTGAAGCCATTGTTATGTGATAATCTCTGGTGGCACCTGTATCCCCTGGTCAGTGGACAGGCTGTTAAGTCATAAGGATAGGGGTTCCTCAGGCTCCTATGTGACTTCTGCACGAGCTCCTATACCCACCTAAAACCTGTTCCTGTCCTTGTGTGTTGAAAAAAACCCCAAACCAGACAAACACATACTCCCTAAGAAAATCTCTCTTTACCGAATCCTGCTTAAAACAATCCTTAAACTAATTGTTAAGTGCAAAGGACAGTGGCACTCTACTAGAATACACTATGAATTTACAGGAATTAGGATCCTACAATTCATGTGAAAACAAGGTGGCTCAAGGGCTGGCTCCACAGACTAATTATCTGCTGTAAAGCACTTAATGACTTAGCAGCTTTGGAGCTGGGTACTGATGTTAACAAAAAAAAAAAAAAAAAAGAGGAAAATAGAAAGAAATGTCATAATGTTAGCTGTGGCCCTTTGTATGTGGTGGCTGAGCTCGTGAAGCTGCCGTTGTGATGGTTATAGAAGGAGGCAATGAGCAGACACAGCGGTGGTCAGAGAAGCTGTGGCAATTTTATCACCTGGACAGAGCACAAAGGATAC